GAGACATTGACCAAGAGTAGAAAACATTGAGCTGTTTGTAGGATGCCGAGAAAAATGTAAATAAAACAGTGTAGCAATAAGACCTTCAAAAATTCGACATTTCGACTCATAAAAGAATTCAACAGATTGAGACTTGAGGGTTTCTAAAAGTAACCATTCTAAACGATCATCCTTTAAGCCTTGGTCAATATATTCAATAAGTAACTTCGGTATCAACACTTCATAGCGTTCGTTGTGGTCTGGGTCTATAACCAATCGACGATAGAGACACATATCTGTAACTAGATCAAACAAAAACACATCAGAATTTGAGCTCATTTGCACAGTTTCATCAAAATCAAATCGAATACGATACAAAGATAATAACGTAAGCATTCTTAACAAGCACTTACGCTGCTCACTGAGACTTATCAGACGAGGTAAGAATGGCGCAACACAATAATTTGTTACTAGAAAGCTATTCATTATGATCAAGAAGGTTTCCTTAGATAATGAGAAATTGTTGTTGGATGATTTATACAGCAGAAGGTAACTGATTGCTCGAACAAGTAAACCAGGAACACCACCAGTCAATTCCAACAACAATCCTGCAAGTTCACTAGTTGAGAAGTCTTCGTGACAAAGAATTTCTGAAACCTTTGGGCTCCCAGGGAATAAAAAGCAAGAACTTTTCTCCAAATGTTCCACGATACTATGTTTCTCAAGCGGCGAAAGAGGAATAAACACTAACTGAACTCTTGAGACTGAAGCTACGTAATTATATATATTTAAGCCTTCACTTTTCCCAACAACTATAAAAAACAAGTCGGGTTCTTTGCACAATTGACTAATGATACCGAAAAAGTCGTTGTAAGGTCGAACTCTACCGTCATGGGTTCTCTTGAAATGAAATTCGTCGAGACTTTCGTCAAGGACACCAACTTCGTCAAATGCCAACAAAAGATATTGATCAGAAGGAATCCTTAAGATAGAACGGAAGAGCGGAACCAAAGCATCAGTCCTAAGTTTCAGTTCCTTGAAACATTCGTCCGGGTCTGGTTGCGGAAGACCTGATTGCAGACAAGCAACCTTTATTAACAAATAGTAGACTGCCCACTCAAGGTTGCGTTCTTTCGGGTCTGTGGGCTCCAACTCCTTCAAATCCACAAAGAGCAATGAAGCCCTTTTCAGCTTCTCCAGGAAACCTCTTCGGTTGGCCTTCTCAGACTCACCAACGTAATCGAGACCTATCAGTGCACTTTCACCCATATTATTCACCAGTTCCAAGTAACTTTGTACGAATTTTGTCTTTCCACTTCCGAAGAGGTGGGGACCAAAGGGTATGACTGGTTTGAAATGGCGACCAAGTTTACGTAGAGTGTATAGCCTAAATAACTGCAGTGTTACTACACCAACATCTTGTTCTCGGTCTACTACAACCATGTCATACACGCTTTCTGCTTCAAGCTCACTAGACATATCGTAAGCTATGAAGTAAACTATGCGACAGTAAAATACAACAATGATCGATCAATCTTCTTCCAACAGTCCAATGCTCTCAAACTCTTGAGAGCGACGAAAGTCTTTCGAAGCTTAGGACAAGTCTTGATAAGAACATGATTTGCCTTTTAGATAAAAACTATCTTTTTCATTTTTTTGTAATAAAGAGTGGATATTGGTTTCTGTGCAATTGTATATAAAAACAACTTCTCTGAGCTATTAGAAAATAGACCAGCTGAGGAACCTTCAACTTGAGGCGAACCATAAATAAAGTCTATGACGAATACAAGACCTTGTATAAAACCCAATCATCAACACTTTAAGACACTCTCCTGAGAAGTAACAAGAAGCAAATATGACCTGTCAAACTGTGACAGTGACATTTACAACAATAGGCTTATTTTGATTTTCGTGGTTAGTACCATATTAATACAATAATCCTCAGAGTGAAAGCAAATAAGTTGTAACCGAGTTTCAAACATACCAAAAAGTTTACTTGCTCTTAAAAAGAAATCACAAAGTGAAGGATTGATTAAAAGTCTATTGCCAACTCAAGAAACTGTTACGGACTTTATGAAGCAGTTGGAGTCCAAAGTTCAAAAAAGTAGGATTATGAGAAACAATAAATGCTCTTTCAAGTCCGCTCAATATTTCTTCGTCAATCAGCATTTGGACATCTCTTTCACAAAGAATAACAAGTTCACAATTATCAGGTACTTTGAAAGAATCATTTCCAATAAAAATTCCACTGGAGTAACAACGACTCTGATTACCCAACTCATTAGAAACATTCAAGGATAACTTTGTACTAACGATAATAAGCATACAATGATGAGAATCCATTGCACTGGATAAGACTTGATCATAAACAGGATATAAAAATTTCTTGGCTTCATCTATAATATCTGACCAGCCAATTCCTTCCGACTTCCAACGTCCTTTACATGCAACTCCAACAGTAAGAACTTTGGGTTCCACAGGAGATTGTAATTTGAATATAATATCAGGACTATGAGAAGTAGCGTCCAAAGGAATGTAAACAGTCTCTAAATAAAGTGTCTCTCGAATAATCTTATTCCATTCAGTATTGGCAAAAGTTCTTCGACTCTTGTACGATTCATTTCTTGTTTCTATAGAACTAACAACAGACTTGATATAGTGAATGGGTGATATTGTATTGATTGGAAGTTTCATTTGTTTCCATATCGGAGACAATTGACAAAACAATTCTCTCAACTCATTTCGATTCTTTGAAGACAACATCAAAACTAGTCGTAAAGCAACAATTCCTTCAAATACACGACACTTTGAATAGAAGAAACAATCTACTGGTTCTACATCAAGTGATCCAAGAAGTATCTTTTCCAAAGAAGAGATGGAAGGGTCCTTCTTGAAGATTCCAACAAATACTTTTGGAATAAGAATTTGGAAAGTATTCTCGTCAATAGGATATCGATAGAATCCCATTTCAGTGACTGCATCATATAAAAAGGACTCCGAGGTCAATATGTCATCTACTTGAAACGGTATACGATAAAGAGCCATCATTAAAAGTATATCAAAAACACTTTTTCTATCTTCGTCCAAATTCAATATTCGTTCCACAAATGGTTCAGCACAAATTCTTCGGAAATCGTAGTCATTCATACATGTCAAACATTCTTCTTTCGATATGAAAGGCTGATTTCTTGCTACTATATAATTCAAAAGCATATTTACTGCACGAGTCAACAAACCAGGAACTCCACCTGTACATTCCAATAACGAATCTGCCAATTCATTTACTGAAAATGAAGAACTACATAAGACATTACAAACCGGTTCTTGAGTAGGTGTCTTTAGAAGACTCTTTTCAAGGAATTCAACGATACTGGAAGCGTCCAAAGGTGATAAAGGGATAAAATGTAGTATAACTCTTGATAGCCCAAAAGCCACATCATTCTTAATACTTAAACCCTTGCTTTTCCCAACAACTATAAAAAACAAGTCGGGTTCTTTGCACAATTGACTAATGATACCGAAAAAGTCGTG